CGTGACCATTCCAGAAACCTGGCCGAGTTCATAAAGATTTTGGTGAAAAAAAGTGATGGCGCCAAATTGGCACCAAATGGCACCGAAAGGCGCCATGGCTAGGAATGAATGTTACATTCGTGATCAGGGCACCGAGAAACCCCATTATGCAAGTTTATACAGATTTTTTGGGGAAGGTCATGTCGCCAAAGTGGAAGTAGTGGCGCCAAATTGGCACCAAATGGCACCGAACGGCGCCATGGCTAGGAATGAATGTTACATTCGTGATCAGGGCACCGAGAAACCCCATTATGCAAGTTTATACAGATTTTTTGGGAAAGGTCGTGTCGCCAAAGTGGCGCTAGTGGCGCCAAATTGGCACCTAATGGCGCCAAATGGCGCCACGGCTAAAATGAATGTCACTTTCGTGAACAGGGCACTGAATAGCCCCAGTAAGCAAGTTTATACAGATTTTTTGGGAAAGGTCGTGTCGCCAAAGTGGCGCTAGTGGCGCCAAATTGGCACCTAATGGCACCGAACGGCGCCATGGCTAGGAATGAATGTTACATTCGTGATCAGGGCACCGAGAAACCCCATTATGCAAGTTTATACAGATTTTTTTGGGAAAGGTCGTGTCGCCAAAGTGGCGCTAGTGGCGCCAAATCGGCACCTAATGGCGCCAAATGGCGCCACGGCTAGAAATGAATGTCACTTTCGTGAACAGGGCACTGAATAGCCCCAGTAAGCAAGTTTATACAGATGTTGTTGAGAAAAGTTGTGGCGCTAAGGTGTCGCAAAGTGGCGCCAAATGGCGCCAAATGGCGCCGGCCAAAACCCAACGTCGTAGAATATGAGCATACCCTCGGATACAGCTCGGCGAGCTGATTCTAGCCATATATGGGTATCCATACAAAAAGTCAACAGGAACAGCTCTATAACGAAAAAACGAAAAAAACGGATCGGCGTTTTTTTCGTAATTTTTTGAACACTTACGGCGGGTACTGTATCTTGGGAGTATTTTTCTCAAACTAAGCTTTTGCTAATCTTTTTTTGAACGAGTGTACTCTGACCTCCAAGTACCGTCCTTGACATGTTCGAGATGAATGGGTCCGCAGCTGCAGCAGCGTGACACTTTCCCGCTCATAAGGTGCATGGATACGTTACTGGGAGGTAGCGGTATTTAGATGCCGTTCCTAACTCAGTCCCCACTATTTACAAAATGCAGCAGTTGCGTCGGTATCAAAAACTTGTACCGAGGTAAAAGACAGTTGTGAGAGGGCACATGCAACTAATACGATTGGCCATGGTTAGGCGCAGGCTAGCCATGCAGGAGCCCGATCGGAGTATGGAGTGGGTAACGGGACACTACTACCCTCCAGCCCCTTCGCGCGCACTTTTGAGCGGAAGAGCAAGGTGCTGCAGCTGCGGACCGATCCTCCTCACACACTGCAAGGACCAGAATCACCAGCAATCTAGGGTAATAAGGAGCTGAGCGCTGGGACTTTTCTTGTGCGTCATGGGCTTTCGTCTGCGAGCTGAAGTGACACTTGATTTGACGTTTGGTCAATATGAATGACAACAGAAATCAGAAAGCTCTATCATGAATCCGGTATCTTCGCATCGTCCGGGAAGGTGACCCGAGCTATATGGCGTCCTGACTACCTCTCCAGTCTCCCATCTCGTTGGCTCATGAAGGCGGGAGCGCAACGAACTCAGAAAATTTTTTCCTATGGGGTTTTATTCGCCCGTCCTTCGAAGCTTTTGCAGCTACTTGTCTCAAAGTCGAATTTATGTTTTTGGTACCATCTTTCTTGCCATTTTCTGGGAATTTTGTTCCAAGCGACAGGAGGTCCTCTCACACTGTTCAAATTGAAGTGCACTAAATTAACAAGGCGTATGTAATATTTAAATACGCTTTGCACGGAGGAATACTGAAAGGCCTCAAAGGCAATTTCCGCAATAAACTAAGGCTACAACCTCTTAAATGTGTCAGATGGTGCCGGTGGACGATTTAGAGGTTGCTGTGGCTTCCAAACTGAGAATACCGCAAAGACAGTAGGCTCCCAAATGTTTAGGTCGGAATGAGCCCATGCCGGCTACTTTTGCTCGGGTCTTCATTCTAATATGCCGTTGTGATTTCCCGTTATCAATTTCTGACTCTCTCCGCGCTTTGGCAGTGTGTCGTCACCTTCTGCATATCACTGTTGATTCTGACCACCCTACTCTCGTTCGATGATCATGACCAAGTGCAAGGAGGAGCGTTATATTGAGATCGATTTTAATACTTTTTTTCTTCACTACTTAGGCAACTAGCGCAATGCACTCCTGTTTTTTTTTAACATACCGCTAGCCTATGATGTACAGTCCCAGGAAGTGCCTTGCGCAGGCGTTGTGTGGCGTCTTTTCCAACCATGGGTGCCGGTACAGCGCCTATCCAAGGTAGACATGCTCACCCAAATCCCTTATTTTTGGTTCACCATATAAATCCACCGCGAGCATCTTTCTAGTGAAATGTTTCGGTTTCAAATGACGAGTCAGCAGCCAAGCAGAACAAGGGAGGGTCCAATTTTGCTTCGGATGATGGAGCACGGCAAGGGGATGCGCAGCTAAAGCTCGTTTTTCTCCTCTTTCTTTCGGGAAGGAACAAGACGGCATCACATCGCTCTTACTAGTAATTTTTCATTAGCTGTTGCCGTTTACAAGGCTTCAACATCTGGTAGAGAATGGGCTAGAGGGGCGCCGAACCCATTTTCACTGGCAATGAAACACCCCTTCATCTGCGGCGAAAAAGGCTGTATCTGAGCAAAACAGCCCCTCTGTGTGCTCGTCTCTCGATTTCAGAGCCACAAACCCTCATGTCACTTGTTTGTATATAGGCAGGGTGCACGCAAATGTTTATGAGGGACCATTCATTTTTATAAGGACCGCTTCTTTTAAAACAACGTAAATTTTCCGAGAACGCTCGCCCACCAGCTGGTTCAAAAGTCGTGAATATGCCGATCGCAGTAATACACTTGTACTGCATCCCATTAGCCAATTCCTCATGATTTTCTCGTCATCCATTTATTTTCGCTATAGAATCCTGGGCATTGTACTCCCTAGGCTACAAGTAACAATTGTAACAGCAAGCCACAAGATAACGGCAATTGTGAACACCCTTCGACTAGTGTCATGCCCTCTATTTCTTGGAAAAAACCCCATCTGTCATCTTTTTGACGCTTTCGTAATGTGCTCGTTCATCGAGCAGCTGCCTGCTGAGTGTGTTGAATGAGTGCTGAGCGGTGAATGTTTGTTACAGCCAGCGGACAATCGTGAAAAGACAGACATATAGACAATTTTTAGTTCTCTACGGCGATAACTTTTTCGCCTTCTTACAGTTGCCCCGCCTACCACCTCACGCAACTTCTCGCCAATTAAAAAACTGAAATGCTAATCGAGTTCCTAGAAATCGTGAGCTAGCGCTCGATAACTGAAATTCCTGCTATACATGTGGACTGAAATCAAAAGGCTGCTCATAGGCAGAGAATTTCTGAATCAGTGCGGCTGGTGGGAACTGCTCGAAGCGCAACGCCAAAAGCAGAAACTCCGTTCAGTTTTAACCTGCAGAACTGCTAGGTCGGGCTTGCTAGGTTGCGAGAACAGTCTTGCAACTCCCCGAATGAAGCCAAATTACATTTTCTCTCTTTCCTTTCTTTCTTTTACATTTTGGATTCCGGGAGCTTGCCGAAAGCCTTTACAGCAGTCTGCCGAAACATTCAATAATACTGTACAGTAACCACAAGCCGAAATTTCCCCAAGACATGCACTTTTGAAGAATTCGGCTTAGGCGTTAGCATTACGTGTCAAACACCGAGATCAAAGGGGCTAGAGGGGCTTCAGTTCTAGCCCCTTTGATCTCGGTGTTTTTACACGTAATGCTTTCAAACGCCCTTTTTTGAGCATAGGCTTATGCTTTCTAGATTGTTCTGACCACAAGAAACCACTTATGATCGAAGCTCGCAAAGCTCCGTGTTGTAAACTTGTGAGTATGATTGCTCCGTGATTCTATTAGGTTGGTCTATAAGTTCTTAACCCCGACTTTTTCGTAAATATCTCAATAGCGAACCAACCTGAAGATTAGAGGTATGCACCATCACCATGAACTACTCGTCGCCAGCGCTCAGGCAGCTTGTC